TATTCTGGAGATTAAACCGAATATCGTCGTGTCATGCTGTTTCACAATTATTTAATAGTCAAAATCCAGGATGAATCAGTTATGCCAGTATTCTTTGTACTTTGCAGTGATCGTCTATTCCATCATGCAAGCCACAAAAATTGTACAATCTCAACAATATCTTCCATATATTAATCATATACGTTTATGGTATACTGTCATTTCTATTTTGAACATCATCTTATGCAACTTACTATTTAATTAGATTTAATCACCATTTTCATTCACTGCTGTATCCATATCCATATCATCATAATGATCAATGAGATTGATTTTCTTTGTATTGATCAAATTTCCCGGTTGTTTTTCTTGTTGTTGTCTTCGTTTCAATGAATGAAACAGGTTCCATATATGGATCAGTTGTTAGATATGGTAAATGATTTAATTCATATTTTTCAATATATAATATAAGCCTGAAGTCTTGCGTTGAGCGCCTAATCAACTTCAATTTATAAACGATATAAATTGATGTTAGTTATCATAAAGAGTACCGGGGAGTCTATACAGTGCACATATCACTGACAGGATAATGTTAACTACTTCAAACCTACTATAAGGCTTCAGTTAAATCCTTTTACTTTGAGATAAACTATACAATATGGTTCCTAAACAAACATACTGACTGATTGTTTATTTCGTTATTGACTAGCTGCCATTAGTTTTTCTTAATCTAATTAATCAGTTCCAATGATTGTTCATGTTATGATAATAACCACAAGTTGTTTTTAACCTGTTTTAGAAATACTGTTGGCTAAGAGTATGCACCACATCTTCGGCCCCATAAAATTTAAGTATTCAAATTTGACAAATTTTATGCGACTATTAACATGCCCGACCGAAGCTGCTACCTCGACGCGGTGGTTGGGCTTGCCTATCGTGATGACCCAAACGAGCTATATTGGCTGAAACATATGTTCCTGTAGGTTCTACCTTGCCAGGCAGGTCGATTGGTGAACGGTAAGACTAAAAGCAGCAACTCAAGGTCTGAGGGCGAAGTCGTACTGCTGACTGTAGAGAGGTGTGACAGCAGTAAGGTGTTTCCCTCAGACAACCAACATGACGGCAATGCTGCCTTCCCTCAACAAGGTATGGGGTTTAAAAAGGTCGGCCCTAAAAATGTCACACCTCACCTTACCTCACGGATTTCCGTCTCCGGCGGTAAGGTCCTTTGAAGAACGTAGCTAACACGTCAAAAACCTTCCACAAAAAGGCCGTGCGCGGACGGCCTCAAGCAGTTGTCCCTTGTGCTCTGCTGTCACGCTCCCATATCGTCAAGACCAACACTAATCCAATTTCCTTTTCAGGTTCCTCAAGAAATACCCTTCCACGGTGTGGGCAGCCGGGAAGTGACATCAGCCCTCATACACGTAACAGCACACGAGACCAAGTTGGTCACATTCAAATCCTTCCTACACCTCCTAATACCTCTCTTATCTCCATGACTAACCCTCCTCATGTCTCTGTATCACATCGCAACGCTAGGACAAACGATTCGAGTATGTGGAACGCTATTCCTGGTCTCCTGAAACCACGCTCTAAACTACACGTAGGAGCTTTTAACGTCCGAACACTGTGTCAAATAGGACAGCAGGCTTTCTTAGCTAGGACTTTAGAATCTCGCGCCATCGATGTGTGCTGCGTCTCCGATTCGGGCATACAAGATCCGAGTAGCGTCATTCATCTGACTTCACCACGCCAAAATAAAGAACCGACTCGATTTACGCTTGGTGTATCTGGAAGCCCTGATTCTGCTTCCCGTGGACTCGCCGGCATAGGTATAGCATTGAGTCCCAGAGCAGAATTAGCTCTTAGAGTGGATCCCAGTAGACAGCCGTTTGTGCGCTGTCCGACTGAACGGAACAGTAAGAATCCAGTAAGATAGGGACACCCGTCGTTGCCTCTTCGTCGTTTCTGCCTATTCTCCCACTGACTGCAGCTCAGATAATGTAAAAGATGAGTTTTACCGAAAGCTTTTCGACCTTCTCCGAAAAGCTAGGCGCTCGGATGTAGTAATAGTGGCCGGTGACTTTAATGCTCAAGTAGGTAAACTAAGCGATAGGGAAAGACACCTGGGTGGATCTTATGGTGTCGTGGCTCAAAGAACAGATAATGGCGACCGTCTGTTGCAGCTGTGCTCAGATAATCGCCTGTTCCTTGCAAATACTAACTTTAAGCATAAGGAAAAACATCTTTTCACATGGCGACCCCATAATTCGTCCCAACGTTGGACCCAAATATATCACATTGCCATCAGCCACCGATGGAGGGGCTCGATAGAAGACTGTCGCTCATTCTGAAGCACATGCTTATTTATTTATTTACTTGAGCACATAAATATTGGCACAAGAGAGCGCCAAAATATATGCGCCACACAAAACAATGAAAATTCGAAGAGAGATAGAAAAAAAAAACTAAGGAGCACAAAAGAAAAAGAGAACGATAACGAAGAGATTGGTGTATGGTAGTGTGGTCGTAACGATGGAACGGAAAGGTACAATCAGAAGAAATCTTTCAAGTAAGGGAGACACAACCACTATTATGAGAAAGTAAAAGAAGGTTACAGCAGGATCGCCACTGGCTTCTATTCTGGGCCATATCTGATAACGTCTCTAGCCACTGTGTAGCACCATCTCTCAGACCCCAACCAGGGAGTCGTGAAGGACCAACACAAGCCAGTCGTTTGCAGCTTTCTTTCATACCACGACACCATGTCATGCACTGACCACCTCTCCGCTTTTTCCAACCAGTCCCAGAGTCGGCAAATAATGCACGACGTGGAATTCTCTGGGACGACATTCGAGGAACATGTCCAAGCCACCGAAGTCGGTGTTTCAAGATGGTGACACCAATTGAATTATCATCTCTGTGCCCAAACACACGATGCCGAACCTCTGCATTATTGACATGGTGTTGCCACTGAATGTCAGCAATCCTTCGGAGACAGAGATGATCGAACACAGAGAGTCGTCTAACGTCCTCAACTTGGAGAGGTCAGGTTTCACAAGCATAGAGCAAAACTGCTCTCACCGACGCGTTGTAGATCCGACCTTTTACAGCCAGACTAACATCACGAAGGCGCCAAAGGTGACTCAGATTGGCATAAGCCACTCTGGCTTTCACTATACGTGCATTGATCTCATCACTCACACCCCCACCAGCACTTATGCAGCTACCCAGATACACGAACTTCTCGACTACGTCTATCTGCTCACCATCCAGGGTGAGTACAAAATTGGAATCCTGCCAGTCTTGTAGAAGTACTTTGCACTTCGAAGGTGCAAAGCACATACCATACCTACGGACACTGATTGCCAACTGATTAAGTGCGGATTGCATGCCTTGGGCATTATCGCACAGTAGGACAATATCGTCCGCATACTCAAGGTCGAGAAGTCTTTCTCCAGGTAACAGATCCACACCACCATTACTTACATTCATCAGAGCTGTTTCCAGAATGTCATCGATGGCAAAGTTGAAGAGGAATGGTGAGATTGGGCAACCCTGCCTAACCCCACTACTCGAATGGAACAATGGAGAGAGGTGATTGTATGCCCTCACTCTGCCTGAGGTGTTTGTATATAGGGCTTTTAGGATGTTAATAAACTTCTCAGGCACACCCTTCTTCAATAGACAATCTCAGAGAACAGTCCTGTCCAACGAATCGAAGGCAGCCCTGATGTCAAGAAACACTACGATTGTTGGCCTTTGATAAGTATGGCGATGTTCTAACATTTGACGGAGGGTGAAGATATGATCAATACAACCTCGACCAGAACGAAACCCAGCCTGCTCCTCGCGAGTCAATCTTTCTCGGGTTTTGAACAACCTACGAAGTATGACGGAAGCCAATATCTTGGACGCAATCGGAAGTAGACTTATCCCCCGATAGTTGTTGCAGGAACGACGTGAACCCTTTTTAAAGATAGAGACAACTATCGACTCATTCCATGACGTTGGTACACTCTCTAATTCCCAAACCTTTGTAAACAACGTCGTCAATTCCTTAGTCAAAAAGTCACCACCATCTTTAAAAAGAGCCGGAGGTAAGTCATCTGGGCCAGGTGATTTGTAACGCTTCAAGAGTTGGAGTTCCTTGCGGACTTCCTCCTCGTTTGGTGGATCAGTCGTCACCGGCCATGGAGGGCAGGACAGTCTGACCGATGTTGCCGGAGCAGCAGGCCAGTTGAACTGCTCTTCGGAAAATTCTGCCCATCGTCCAAGACGTCGATGGATGTTAGTGATTGGCATCCCATCATCCTCGCAGGTTGTTTCACTCACACCAGACTTCTTGCTGCCAGTGGCTCAGATGAGCTGGAAGAGCTTCCGGTAGTTATCAGATGCAGCTGCTGCTTCCAGCTCATTAGCACGCTCCGACCACCAGGCTTCTCGGTCCTTACGCAAGCTTTGCCCAATTTCCCTACGTAACATCCTTCGTTTATGTTCAAACTCACGGTCACCCGGAGTGGACCGACGGGCTTCAATGAGTTGTAAGGAACAAGAAGAAACCCAGTGCTTAAAAGCGGGACGTTTCGCAAACCCACAACTGACTGTTCCCGCCATTTTCATGGCGTCTAGCAATTGCAGCCAATGCTCATCTATACTTTTCGGTGGAGTGGTAGCTAGCCTAGAGGCTTTTCGAAGCGACAGATGGAGATCGAATTTGTAGTACTTCGCCAGAGTCTTGAATACGGGTCTCGGATAGACAACAAACATCAATATTAAGAATTTCCAAAGACATAGCCAGCCCTATCTGTTGTCCGACCTGCACTAGTGTGCGAACGTTGAAAGCAGCCAGTTTGAATGGTGCACGTGGTTTCAGAAAAGCTGCTTCAGTTCTCGTAATCGATGGTAACACAATTTTCAACCGGACAGTGACTCGAGAACGTTTAGATACAGTCGAATTTCCACCAAAGATGAGCCGCAATGTCAGGAAGTAATATGTATAAGTGTAGTAATTATCCATGTTTCATTATGTTTTGTTTATAAATTATCTTTTTAATTGGTTTATTACTATAGGTTGTTGTACCCACAAATGCTCCATTGGTGACATCAAGTACCACATTATCAGTTTGCAGAAAACATGATGATATATGAAATGAATTAATATATGATGATAATAATAATAATAATATTAATATTGACAATAATAATGGTTCACCATCATCCTCCATATTTTTCAATTCCAATTGTTCTTATTCTACGCAATTAGATATTTTTATTGCTGAACCAAATCAAGATTTGTATGAATTACGTAGACGTTACCCATCGCAATTTCTAGCATTAGTTACAAATTATTTAGGCTTTTTAGTATTCACCTCAGAGGAATTAGATCAAATTCGTGAAATTTTAGTAAAAGATGCCAAACAATCACAAACTACAACGTTAACATCATCAACAACATCGACGACAACAGTCAAGACAGATTTGGAAACTAATAAGTCCGAAGTCAATGATAATAATAATAGTAGTAATAGTAATAATACAAACGAAAACAATAGTAAAACACAGTATACACCAAGAAATATGTTGAGTCGATTACGTGAACAAAAACAAAATGGTAAGTTATTGTTTGTGTAATGTTTGATTTAATTTAGTTAACCAAATAGTTTATAATCGTTGTATGAAAACATACGGAGCTACTATTAACTTATTCCTACTTAAGTAGTGGAGAAATATCACTACACCTTAAACGAACAGAGTATAATTCAGATCTGATTACATAAACCTGTACTTGATAAAATGAGTTTAGTTGATTAGTTTGTAAGAAGTCAGCTGCTTGGTTTAGGATTATTAACAATCTATTTTGTGTGAATTAGATAAGATTTATACAAGTGTTTATGTTAGGTTGTAGAAAATTGTCAATGATTACAGAGAGAATGACACAATATTTGTCGTTTAATCACTAAATTGCCGGTACAAATATCGTCTCATCTACTTTGGTTACGACAACTAGATATTATTACTAATGCTCATAATTGGAGTGTTGCTTGAAGGTATACAAATGAAGCACGTTTAGAGAAGTTGAGTAAACTTATTAAAAATGATCTCATGATTTCCAGTAATTCATTGTTTAACAGTAAAATTCACGAGTCACTCTCAGCTAAACCACCATTAAAAACCTGAAGAGCTAGACGGTCGTTTCATCTCTCTCTCTCTCTCACTATATATATTGCAAAGAACGGGCTTGGAGACAACTTCATTTAGAAGATCACTTATACAATTAACTTAGCTAATGAATATTGTCATGTATGAGAGTCTGAATCAAATTAGTATAGCAGACCATTGAATTCCAATTCAATTTCTTAAAACGGCATTATGCATACCTAAGGACGTGAATTCTGTGTTTGTTCATGGATGTGCTGTTGCAAGGTGTCAATGATTTTCCAATTGTTGTCAACTTATAATGTAGAATTATTTTTAAAATTATCTGTATTCACTTCATCCCATCTCTATGTATCGCATTCTTGTTTTGTACCGTAAACAAAATAATTTGATATATTTTATGATAAATGTTAGTAGTAATCGCATTATAAGAAACATGTACTTTTATACTTTATAACTTAAATATTTTTTTTTGTTTTTAGTTTCCAAAGGGAATGAAATTAATCATTGGTATACAGTGGTCAATGCAATTATACGATTCATGCTAAGAAATAAAAATTGTAAGTATACAATATATCCTATCTATCTATCTATCTATCTATCCATCCATCCATCTATCTATCTATCTATCCATCTATCTATCTATCCATCCATCTATCTATCTATCTATCTATCCATCCATCCATCTATCTATCTATCTATCTATCCATCTATCTATCTATCTATCTATCTATCCATCCATCTATCTATCTATCTATCTATCTATCTATCCATCCATCCATCTATCTATCTATCTATCTATCCATCTATCTATCTATCTATCTATCCATCCATCTATCTATCTATCTATCCATCTATCTATCTATCTATCCATCTATCTATCTATCCATCTATCTATCTATCTATCTATCTATCTATCTATCTATCTATCCATCTATCTATCTATCTATCTATCCATCTATCTATCTATCCATCTATCTATCTATCTATCTATCTATCTATCCATCTATCTATCTATCCATCTATCTATCTATCTATCTATCTATCCATCTATCTATCTATCTATCTATCTATCTATCTATCTATCCATCTATCTATCTATCTATCCATCTATCCATCTATCTATCTATACATCTATCCATCCATCTATCTATCTATCCATTCTGAGAAGTCTCATACCAGGACAAACGGCCGTCTAATACTTCCAGGTTTTCAGTGATGGTCTGATATGGATTTGTTTATGATCTCAATTAAAATTCAACCATCTTCACAACCCGATACTAATTATTAGATAGTCATCATGTTTATATCATCTTTCATGTTGATAATCATTCTGCTGATCAGATTGATAGGAAACAGTTAAATGCAGTGGATCATAATGAATGAATATGATCTTATTGTATAATCAACAACAATTGTGTAACAATTCATGTTAAACAGATAAACTTTTTTTCTAATAATTGTAAGTAATAATGGATATTAAGAAAAAGATAGTGAGTGTATGATACAAGTTATGAAAGTACAAATGGTATTCCACCACAAGAATGAAATCACTCTCCCACCTCCTTATCAATTTATCATTATTATTATTATTATTATTATTATTGTCAGAATAGACCACACATGTAGCTTTGCTCAGAAATTTTTGTGTTACACTAATTATGTTTTCTTCCACAATTCTCGCTGTAGGTATATAAACAAAATAATGCCAATCGTTTCATTTGCATATATGGTCACAAAATACTAGTACTATTACTGCTAATAATAATAATAATAATAATGCCTTTATAAATCAACCAATCAATCAATAATTCAATAAATAAATAAAACTGGGAAAAAAAAGAGAAAAAAAGAAAAAAAAATCTACTCTAACCATTTTGATTATTTTTATAATTCACTTTATCGAAATGAGAATAACCAAGATATATGGAATAGAAATGACTGAAATGTTTCATTGTTATCTTTGAATAAGATGAACATTTTTGAATAATACAAATTTCTGTATCTCTCTCTCTCTCACTCATCCTTACTGAATACGTAGTGGTGTTTGTCTGTGAGAGGGGGGTGGGGTGGATGAGCGGGGTTATTGATATGTCCACGACATTAACCCCTCAAGACGAGGCTAGTTGAGTTAAAATAAATAAAGCATTACATGAACTAATATCTTTCTTTTTATTTTATAAAAAAACCCAGTTGAATAAATAGAATCTTTGACTTTATTGAAAATGTTTGATGAATTGATCTTTGTTGAATTTTTATAAAATTCAATTAAATTTTATCAATGTTTATTTGAATTTTAATAAAATTTATCATTTAGTAGCTGAAACATTTGAATAATAAATCACTTGTTTCATCGTAGTTTAATCTATCTACATTTGGTCAGACAAGTAACCCTAGTGAACCTTGTACAAAGTATTTGTATTTAAAATCATGTAGATGATCTAGTGAATTAAATATATATCTGAATACAATCGTTTGGTTTTTTTTGTACGAATTTCCACAACCTGAAATCACTAGACGGCTGTTTTGTCTTAGTGTTGACTCATGAATTCAACTGTGAAACTACTACAATCTCCAAAAATTTTTATACGGATAATATCGTGTGCTCACCAATGAATAGCTTCAAGATGAACTTCTTGGAGTTCTAGTGAGTTGTGACCAATGGTGTAAGACAATGGATGAATGGCTGTGCGAAATCATAGATAGATTGAAGTTAGATGTCGGCTCAGTGGTTTAGAGCTTAAGCGTTTGCTTGCGAGATCGAGAGTCATGGGTACAAGTCTCACGTATGGGATCGTAGATGCTTACGGATGAGGAGTTTCATACTAGGACGAAACAGTTGTCTACTGCTTCGAGGTTTTCAATGGTGGTCTAGATTAGATTGACTTGTGAATTTAACTGTTAAAATACTACAATCTCCTCAAATCCCCATACTGATAATAAATATTGTTAAACTTGTCAATATGCGCTACTACATTATTTGTATAGAAATTTAATGGCTGTATTTAGTCTTAAAATCTGTTCACAAGGTCTTAAGTCTCAATGCTACAATTCAAATAATCAACAATTCATTTGAGTTTATGAGTTATATAACTTGTTACTGACTCTAAGGTCATTTAATCATTTTATTCGTGAAATACTACCATCAACAATAATTTAACACTGTCGGTTAGTCATTTCCTATCAATACCATTAACATTATACAAATATACTTATATAAAGATCATCATAAGCTATATATCTATTTAGTTCAGACTAGATTTCTTCCTACTAAATATAGTATTAATTTATTTCACATTTCTTTTACAATTTGTACTTCACATAATGTTATGTACTTATTTAGCCAAATACCCAAATGTATTAAATATACTTTTGATCTATGTCTAATAATCACTGAAGTGAAAGTTTTCATATAAATGACTAATAAATGATAATATTAGTCATCAGTATGGGGGTTGTGGAGATTGTTAAGTTTTTGATTGAGATCATGAATCAATTGATGTTAGACCACCGTTGGAAACCTTGTTGATGTTAGACACTAACACCATTGGATGCCAGCTCAGTGGTCTAATGGTTAAGTGCTCAGGCGCGAAGCCAGTAGGTCCTGCGTTCGAATCCCGCTCGCGGGGTCGTGGATGCGCACTGCTGAGGAGTCCCATACTAGGATAATATTAGTGTTATTTGAATCCTTATGTATGTATATGTATATGTCTGTCTATATGTGTGCATGTGTGTATGAACTCGTATTTGTTTGTCTCTCAGCTTATTTTCCTATTTATATATAATATGCTTAATTATTCGAATAAATTAAAGTACCATAACGAAACTGTAACAGAATTATCCTTCAATACTAAATTTGTCATTGAAAATTTATCCAACCAGTTATCTTCCATCTATTTGTTAAATATTAAACATTATTCTTACAGTATCAATAAGTTTTACTGTGTTATCTTTATTTATTAATCCTTTTGAGAAGTATTAGATGATCTTTGTCTCAGATATGACTATATATATATATTCGTATTAAGGTTTTCTTTCTTGTTATACACGTGTGTATGTATAGACTATTTCATGATACCTAACAAGTTTATAAAGTTAACATTTGGTTTTATACTAATTATATACCCCAATTAATTTTTGTTCATTAATCCGTGTATATTTTACTTTTTGGTATATAAATAATTGAATGTCATAACAACAATATCAACAAGATATTTCTTTGAATTTAGTTACCAAGTTAGAGATTGGGAATTGTTTCAATGATTATGAATTATACTTTTATTTATTAGTTAATATAAATTAACTTAATTGTGTCTATTTTATTGCATAATCGATCTTAAATTTCATTGTTTCTTTTTAAATTAGACATCAGACAGTCCTGCATTGTGTTGTAATATTGTGTTACTATGACACCAAGTCCATGTTCACAAGGCAAGAAATCGAATGAATCATTGAGAAAATCGGATACATCTACCATGAGTACAAAATCAAATAATCCCATAGTGAGTAGATTGTGTTGTTATTTTATTTTTAAAGTTGAGTAGTTTGTTAACATTTCCTCAAACGATTACGTAACATTAAAAGTCAATGCGATTAACATTGTCTCAACAACGATTAAGATCAATGTGAGATATTTGATTGTTCTCCGTACAGAGTAAGAAATCAATACTAGCTATGCTGTAATATTCAATGGGATTTTCTTATCGATACAGATTTTCATATTATACCCTGACATATTTATATATAGTGTACCAGTATGGAGGATTAATGGCGACTGTAGCTTAGCTAGAACATAATTGAAAATCTACAACTACTAGATGGCCGTTTTATCCAAGTATTCGTATTCACAAGACCGAGCGTGGAGGTCGAACCCAGGATCTCCGGTCTCGTATGTAAACCTTTAAACTCCAGACCATTTAGTATGTATTCATCGGTGTTAGTGTTTGAGTTCAATCATTCTATGGACTCTTGCAACCCTTCATTTATTACCGGCAGTGCATAGCAATTCCACACCTGACACAGACTGAAGTCCACTGGTATATATGATGTATAGATAATCGAATGCATTCTGAACAATTTGTACCATTCGATGACACCTTAAGTCTTATTTTAAAAAAAAAACACTAAGAGAAGAGAGATAAATATGAATAAAATAAAAATATAAGACATTAGCTTTGTGAAAGTTTTTATTACAAATAAGAAGCATTCACCTATAATATTTACTTTTTTTGGATATGTGTAAATCTCCATAAAATGATTGTTTTCGTGTTTTTAGGTTAATTTAACAGCCGCATTCTTAGCTAAAAGACCACGTGCTCATTCCCCAGTTTGTGGTAACTCAAAGGATTGTGTCACTCCATTAGTTAAAAATGTAAGTCAAGTTGAAAATGTTAATTTAATTTATGTATTACATTAGTTATTCACTATATACATGATGGACTTGATTTTATATCTAATACAATATGGATAGATACATGTGAATGTACATAATTCAAGAAAAAAGTCGCATTATCTATGTAGACAAGGTGGGTCATCATTCCATAGATGTTTATAGATCTAGATCAATGTATTAAATATTTACGTTCGCTTGGCGTAGTACAGCACGCGTTATTTCCATCGATTGATGCTACATACTACTCATAATTTTCAGCATAAGTAGCATTCGCCAAACTACCACAAGTTCGATCTCTTTCCGATATCTTAAGAATTTCCACTGAATGATGATAATTTAGAATTGATTGACCCAACAAAGTATCGTTCTAAGTTATGCATTAGTTATTGTATGACATGATTAAAATGAATTTAAAAGTTATATTATGAATGATAATGATTTAATAAAATCTTTAAATTTTTCAGATCAACACTTGTATTATTTATGTTTTCAATTTTCTTCTTTTTCTTTATTTTTTCTAGACTTTACACGGTCGAACACTTGATTTCCGAATACGTCGTACACCTACCTACACATACTGTTTTACGTAATCAAAATGTAAATATGATTCGTTCTCCTGTATCAACAATTTATAGTCATTCAAATGGAAAATCATCTAAATCAAATGATACAACTGTAATAATAACAACAATCTTAACGGCAAACAAAAAAAAAGAAAGAAAGAAAGAGAGAGAAGCACAACATTGATTCATCATATTCATACATCTTTTCAATTGTATTGTACATATCATCAATTTTATGTTTGATATCAATCATTTTAATATTGTGTAATTATTGTATTATATTCTCATGGCAAAAGTGTATACAGATCAATATTGTGTTAACAAATAGTTTCTTTCTTTCTATTCATAATTTCAGTGAATTTCTTTTATTTCTATTTTGTTTATTTTCTTTTCTATGTTTTATACAACAATTTCGAATGATGATTGTATTTCCCTTATTCCAACCTTCATTTAATTTTGTTTACCGGCAACGAACTCATCCACGTTAACGGTTAAATGTGACGTAGAATAAAGAAGACAATACTTAGTGTTGTAAAAATAAACTAATATTACAATGATTTTTTTTTAAAAAGAATCAATAAAGAGTTTTGTAATTGTAATGTGTAGTATTATTAGTAGTATTATGAACTACTATTTTCCATTGTTTGCTTACACACATTTAATCATTGTCTATTACTCTCTGTTATATATCTGAATATAAATAAAATTTGTAAATATTTTCTTATCAGAAAAAGGGTTATAAAGATCGTTGAGATAATAAACCGATCCATGTTAGGCTACCATGGAAAACCTGAAAGCACTGGATGATTGGTTCATCTTAGTATGGAACATGAATACTGTTAAGTCCTGATTCAGTTGTCTAAACAATAAAAGTTCACACACGACATCAAAAGACTTTAGTTCGAGTAGTCCCATATTAGGACGAAATAGCTGTCTAGTGGTTTCATATTTTAAATGGTAGTCTAACACATCGATTCATGATCTCAGTTAGAATATTTGGGTTTATTATAAATAAGGAGTGAATTGATTAATACGAATTGATTATTGTAAGCAATTAATTGTTAAAATGATTAGCATCAAAACTATTATTTTAATGTAAATCAATCAGAAATTCATGACATTGACAACAAATAGAACAATTTTTATGTTGTAAATTTTACGTCTCATTGTCTAGTCAATAATTGTAACCCTTTTTTTTCACATTTGCATATAAACATAATTGTGTTTCAATTGTTATTAGATATGAAAATGTGTCATAAAACGAATATTGTGGTGTTATCAATGTCGTTATTCCATTATTAACATGATATAATGCCAAGTTTTATAAATGTTTATTGTAAAGTTTATAATCAATATTATCTTGATTCTATTTGACAAGTTAGTTGCTAATTAACTATACTTTAATAGTATAAAAGAAAATTATGTGATTTGAATAATAATTCTTAATCACTAAAAGTAACCTAATTAAAAGAGATATTATTGATTAGTTCTGATACAAAATGAGTATTAACTATTATATTATCTATCATTGATGAAGTGATCATTTTCACAAGAGAGGATAGTACTTTGTATTGAATTTTTATTGTACAAACTAACTGAGATTTCAATCTCTGATTAATTACGGAATATAACTCAGATACATTTATTTTTAAAACATGTAGACATTCAATATATATATATACAATGGTTTTGTTATTACAATAAACATTCAGTTAAAAGACTTGCAATTTAGGAAAAAGTAAGTAGAAAATGAGATGTAATAAATTGTATCAATCAATAGTTTAATTGAAAGAATCTTGTGAAGATTTGTTGAGTTTGTAGCTTGTATTTGTCAGATTGTTCTGAGATGGAATAACTTTGTAAAGCAGAGAAGAATGAACAGCTATCTAGTTCTGGCGTGAGACTCGGCAGGGCATATACCACCATAATATCAGGGAGCGAACTCATAACTTGGAAATTTTCTGAGGAACATTTAACAAATAGAATCACTGGGTCGGGTTCAAACCACAATTTCAAAGAATTTTTGATGTAGCCTCAAAAATATCCAGTACCACTGGTTATAATTAATTCACTCTCAACATATCTGTACTGTTCCAGTCAAAATTTCTTATTAGAATTTCAGGAACATGTTGAAATAAGTCATTGGTGAAACAATCATAAATACAAATTATTAATTAACAATTATATATGAATGAATATTGTGAATAAATCTATATTTACGTGCACGTTTGAAATAATGAATAACAACAATACAATGATCATACAATCAAGGAAACAATATGGATAGCAAATTGAAAGAATACAGATTGAAAATACTGATCTTCTGATAGATATAAACACGTGTCTGGAATGTGTGTTGCTACTAATTATAGTGATAGGCATAGAGATTTTCTGTCTGTAATGTAACCATTCATCTTCATTATCATCACCATCGTCATTATCATTATGAACAGAGAATGTTGTTTTCACTTTTCTTTTCTTCTTGTCAAGATAAAGAAAAATCCTAAAAGTATCCTAATACCAGCATAACTAGTTTTCTTCTCGTTTCATTTCATCCCAGTATACTGTTATTTATACGCATGTATGTAAACAATTAAGACGTTGTAACTCGCTGATAACAAGTTATTTAGACATAAAATATAATTGAATAGATAAACAAACTAACAAGAGAATAAGAAAAAAAATCAGTTCGATAGCTACTCAACTACAAAGTGAGTGAATCCATGAGCATTTATGCTTAATTTAAATGATTTATTACTAAATTTAACAAGTTTCCATTGTTTAATTATGAAAAGATTGAGAAATTATGATTAATCGTTCAAACTACTTAATAAAGATTAAACGATAATTTTTGCAATGATAAAAGGAGAAAACAACATTTTCTTGTATTATAACATGCATTAAAGTAACTTATTAAGGAATACTTAGACAACAGAAGACATAACAACAAAATTCAACTATTTTTTAATATTCAAGTAAATGGTTAAGATCCATATAGCTTGTGGTATATATTGGACATGGAATTGAATACCATTAGGAAATGACAAGGATCATTTGAAAAGATTTGGTTCTATCCACCAAATGACCTTTATCAACTAGGTATCTCAAGAACATCAAAATATATTCCAACGGTTTCATAACAAGTATTTTTGAGAATGTAAGTAATCTTTAATGCAAGTCTACTAGAACTATATTCTATTACTAATAAGAGAAGGAGAACAACATAAATAACAAAATAAACATCAAAACTCCTTTGTTTAAGTTTATTGATAATTTGAGTACAAGGAAAACTCTACCTTGCTCACTATTCAATAAGAGTGTGATATCTTGTATTCGCACAAAACAAATGCAGCTATCTGTAGATGATTGAATTGAAGTCCGCAATGAAAATTACACTCTCTGATATACAGCACTGACACTATGTGAACAGAAAAATACTCGAAAATGTTAAATATTACACTATTATTGAACATTGAAAGAAATAATGATTATTTCCACCCGTTTTTACTAAATAAACCTTTCAATCTTAAAGTAAATTGAATGTTGGTGAACTTTTAATATAAAAAAAAATTGTGGAAATTCTAAGGTGGTATTCACTACAAATAGACTTTATTTGAGTTATTAATAGATACTTGATGTTTGTTTCGTCGGAATTATTCTGATGTTCTTGTCATTAGTAAATTATCTTTCCAGTCATGTACCTTGGTTGAACATTAGAGAAACACCATCCACGGTGTATGATGCAAGTTAATCAGTAATTCTGTTTAATCTTCTAATTTTTAAATGATCGTATACCTATATTTCACATCGTATAATTATTTAATATAACTATGAATTAAATAAACAGTTTCATTTTATAGGATAATTCAGTCATTCGTGTTACATAAAGTTAAATATGCAAGGAATATCTTAATAACAGTTGTATTGATTCGTCAATTTTAGGTATCATATCTTTATAACGTATCAAATTGACTTTACTATCAGTTGTTTTCTTTACAATCTGAACTGATTTATGAGTAAATAATTCGATTCTAATTCAGTCATTGTCATCAATGGAACTTTTGCCTTGATAAGTGTAGCAAAAATGTTAATTATTATCTTGATTTAGTCCAGTTAAAACTATTAATGAAATATCAGTATCAAGGTTTGTAGAGACTAGTACTTTCACAGTTGAATTCACGAGTCGATCACCATAGAGCTTTAGCGTTCGCTCACTAGACAAAAAGTCCTGGGTTCGAGGGATCGAGGGATCATGGATGCTAAGGAGTACCATACTAGAACAAAACGTCCGTTCAGTTTTTTTTTGGATTTTCACCGTTGTTCTACCTTAGATCAACTCGTGAGTTCAACTAACAAAATTTATAAGAGTTAATAGTACATTCGATGATCACGCTGCTATATGAAAATATGTGGGTT